AAAGGGAGGTGGGAGGCAAAAAATTATCGATTGTAAAATTTTGGGTGAAATTTTGAAGTTAGGGTTAATTAAAATCACACATTATCCATGTCGGGCCTGACCCGCCATTAAAACTAAACTTACAATGGCGGGCTAGGCCCGACATAGATACTTAAAAATATATATATATTAAAATTGGCGCGTTTTTTACCTTGTCCGACATGGTTTCCTCCGTGTTTTTCTTGTCCGACATCATTTCCTCCGTGTTTTTTTTTGTCCGACATTAAAACCAAGATTTGTTGTAGTGCCCCTTCTATTTACGGAATATATGTTAATTATTAGCTAGAAGAAGTTAAGAGGAACTGAAACATGTGAAAGAATGTTTGAAGTCTCAATTTGAAATGAAAGACCTAGGAGAAGCAAGAAAGATGCAGAACTGCATTTACATTAATCTGCTTACAGTAAGCACATAATCTCAAAATTCAACATGTACGAAGCCAAACTAGTCAAAACTCCTATAACTCAGCATTCCAAACTATCTGCAACTAATTCCCCTACTAAAAATGATTATAAACAAAGAAGATACATGAATTCAATACCATATGCAAGTGTGGTAGGCAGTCTAATATACCTAATATTGGTATGTACAAGACCAAACATAGCCTATGCTACAAGTATAATAAGTAGATACATGGCAAATTCGGGTAGAAGGCACTAGGAATTTGCTAAATGGGTACTGAGGTACCCAAGGGGAACACAAAATGTTAGCTTGAAATACGCATCATACAAATTAGAGCCATATCTCTATAGGTTTTTTGACTCAAACTATACAGGTGATATTGACCAAAGAAAATCCCTATCAGGCTACATATTTTTACTTGGTGAAAACGTTATCAGTTGGAGAGCAACACTTCAGTGAGTGGTAGCCTTATCTACCACAGAAACAAAGTTCCTAGCTTTGTCATAATGAATAAAGGAAGCTATATGGCTTAAATGGTTATTAAATTATTTTAGAAATAACCAACATCAAGTAAAAGATACAATGTGACAACCAAAATACAATATATCTTTCAAATAACCAACAATTCCATAGCAGGACAAACCACATAGATGTAAAGTACAATTTCATTCGAGAACACATAGAAAATGGCTCAATCAATGTGGTTAAAGTACATTAACCTTTGATGATGCAGCTGACATGTTGACATTGTACCAGATTCATCGCACGTTCTTGAATCACACCAGTACAGTTAAACGAGAAAACTTGTCCCATGAAGAGATGCTGATGCAAATTTTAGATAGAAAAAATAGGTGTTGCGAAATAAGAATATTCCATTAGTTAAAGTTTTATRGAGTAATCATTCGGTTGAAGAGGCATCTTGGGAAAGTGAATATCCTCAGCTATTCTCTTAGTTACAAAAAGAGGTAATATTTTGTAAAGGCATATCTGACTTTTCTAGTAAAAAATGGAAGTTAATATTTTTGGAGGGATATGTATGTGTGTGACGTTTAGGAGGACACTTGGTAAAAAGAAAAAGAAAGAAAACGAAGAAGAAAAAAGGGATCTTCTCTGGGAGAAATCGAGAGAGATGGCCGGAA